AACCTGGAGCTCACTGACTGACAAGACTGGCTGCCAGCAGGCTCCAAGGGTCTTCCCATCTTTGCCTCTCCAGCTCTAACAGAACGGGCGTGTGTCATCGTGCCCAGCTTTTTATGTGGGTGCTGGAGATTCAAACTCAGGTTCCTATTCTTACATGCCCTTAGCCCAAGACTTTTAATAAATCATTATAAATATAGCCAAGGAACTAATATATATATTATATGTATATATATGAAAGTACAAGAACAATGTCCAACAAAAAGTATAAAATAATCAAATGCTACTTGAGGTCCTGTCTATGGTAAATCAAATAGAAACCACAAAAGAGAAAAGTCAGACAATGTAAATTAAAAGTTCACTGAGGACCTCAAGAGCATATTTGAGTAAGAGAAGAAAAAAGTCAGTAAACTTGATGATATGTCTATTGCTATCCAGCCGAAAGAACAGAAACAGAGAAAAATGAAGTATGCTAACTTATGCATAATACAAGACTCAGAGGGAGAAGAAAAAGGTAGAAAAAAATCTGTTAAGATAATGGCCCGATACTCCCCAAATCTAATGAAAACCATCAATTCTAAGAAACTCAGCAAACTTCAAAGAGAATCTCTGATGAGTTCTAAAGGATCTCTGGAAGAAACAAGTAAAAGGCACTGTATTAGAACAGGACCTCATCAATCAAGGTAACATGACCCGTGATCAGAAACCATGGGGACCGAAGGCAATGGGAGGCCATTTTCAAAGCACCAGAAAAAAAGCATTAACCAGTGTTTTTAAAAATAGCAAAACTGCTCCCTGAAACTGAAGGACTGAAGACATTTGGACAAAAGTTCTGTTTGCTTGTTTTGGTAGTAGAACTTCCTATAATAAATAAATAAATATTATAATAGGTAAAAATGAAGGATACTATTCAATAACTCAGTAACACAACAAGCATTATAGACTGCAGAGCCCAACATTTGCGACAGTAAACGCAGATATCAGGAAAGAAGATAATGGCTGTAGGTGCAGGCCCGCAATCACAGATACTCAGGATCTTAACTAGGTCCCACTAGCCATGAAGTACACATACAGGCCAATTTAGCATCAGCCTTGCTAACCAGAGAATCTTGAAATAAACACTGGCTCCCATAGCTCATTGTATATAAATTTCGTAAACCCTTCTGTAGTCAATGGACCTACAATTGGGAATTCTAGATCGTAGGCTTCAATTTTGCCATAAACTGCTCTAGACTTACTTATATCCATTAGTTCTTCCAGCAATTGAGCAAGAAAATACAGTTTTCTAAAAAAAATCCTTGCCAATTTTTGAAATGGTTGTTACTTTTTTATTTCATTTTTACTTATTAACTGCAAAATAATAATTAATTGGTTTGTATTTTCACAAAATCAAATATGAGTAATGCTCCATTCACTAATTAGCCACTAGGTCATCTTTGTGAACCTTCTACCCAATCGACCCAACTTCTATTGAATCATACAAAGAATTTCTCTTTAGAAATCAGGAAGTACCCCTGCGTAGTGACCAAAAGAATCAGGAACCCTGTGATTATGTCAGCACATTCTGGCCAAGTGCCAGAACCATTCTAGAATGGACTCTTTGAAACATTTGGTTGCCATGACAGGTGTCAACATTTCCAAGAAATCTTGCTGATAACTATTCAAAGTACTTTACTTTCGGGTAACAGGATTTCTCTTCACTGCTTTGTGTCATCAGAAATTACAGAGAAATTGTAGACAAGTAAGTGGTAGTTTCATTATGTCAGTACGCAGTCAAAGGCCGGCTTTTCCTGTTTCTCCTTCTCCTGGTTTGTACTTGTTGCTATTGTTGTTTCATTAAAAGAAAAAAAAAAACTACAGATAAGTTAGGAAATTACTTCATCAGAGACTCATGGCAGAAAAGTCTCCCAGTCCGCAGTGTGGAAGCTGGAAATCCAGGGACTCAATGGCACAGAGTGGTGTTTGAGATCCTGAGAGCCGGAGAACTGAGAACATTGCAGTCAGTTCTAAAGGTGTGAGACCAAGAACATTAGGGGTAGGAGACAATCAGTGTCCTGGCTAAACCGCCAGACAGAAAACAAACTGAGCACTTGGTGGTTGCTGTACTCTCTGCAGTCCTCAACAGACTGGGTGATGCCTGCCCACACTAGCAACAGCTTCCTACAGTTCACCAACTGAAATGGCAGTCTCTGGCTTCCAGAGACACTCTCACAGGCATGCCTAGCTGAGACTCCATTAACTAAGGGAAGTTGGCACACAAAATCCACCATTAAAAAATCGACTTCTCTTCTGTCTTAGATCATTTATCTTCTACTTTGCATACATCGGGGGCCCTTGGGTTGACTTGTAACCTTGCCAGCTATCATCAGATGCCCCCAGAAAAAAATGTCTTCCCTAAACAGTTACATTCTAAAATTTTATTTCTCCTCAGAAATGATAGATTTCCCTCACTAATGATAGATTTCAGTAAATTCATCAGGTAGTGGCAAACTCAAGAGACTAGATAGTTTAATAAAAAAGCTAAACATGGTACATCAGGAATGGCGATACACCACTAGGCATGGCAGTACACTAGGCATGGCAGTACATTAGGTATGGTAATACATGCCTGCACTTGGGAAGCTGAGACAAAAGTTACAAGTTCGGTACCAGGGTAAGCTGACATAGAGACCCACTTTCAAAAACATGAAGGAAAATATAGGTCATCATTTATTAAAATAAACCACACATCAATACAAGGATAGTAAAACTTATATCATGGAGTAAATTCTAGAACTTTCCTAGAACTTCATGTGGGAATTTTGAGGAAGAAAATTCCACTAAAGCAAAGCCTTGACCTATCACTAATTTCCTTTCATGAAACATGGAATATTTAGAAAGAAAAATATGCATGTTTTCCTGTTACGTGAAGTAGCAGTGGATTTGAGAGTGAAATGACATGTCAGAAATGAGACTTTATCCACACCGAGGTCCATGGCTACTACATGCAAATGATGCCTTTGTCTCAAGTGATGGGAACAGTGGGGAAAAGATGTCAACCTTAGAGAATGGAATGAAATGTACTCATGGTTCGATGACGTACTAACGGGAAGCTAGTGAGACTGGGCTAAACAGGAAACTACAGACAAGTTACTGAGACAGAGAATGGGCAGCGGAAGGTCAATTCTACAGTCATTCTAGGGCTGTCAGCAAACTAGCAGGCAGAGAGGAAAGCTCAAGGTTCTGGAATAAGTCTAGCCACCCATCAGTGGATGGACAGCATTGTTCAGTCATAAAGAATTATGTCATTCACAGAACAGTCTGGAGGACTAGCAAGCATCATGTGGAGCAAAGCAGGGCAGATTCAGAAGACAAATATCCCACGCGCTCTCTCGGGAGCAGAATCTGGACTTTAAGACATAAAAGAGAGGGGACGATTGCAAAGAGAAAGATCAGCTTCAGGAGAGGCAGAAGAGAGTGGGCAGCATGCGGTGAAGATAATGAAAACATGTTGTACATATGCACAGACCACCGTAATGAAACCCCTTATTCGGTACAATTGAGATATGCTAATCAAAAGCAAACTATCAAATGCACATATTTACTTCTGGTCTGAGGTGATCCTCCATGAGGCAAAGCATTTGATGCGTGAGTGCCCCACCTTCACTGCAAATGTGAAATGCCCTTAGAAAGAGACAAAGCAGGATAGAAACAGAGACTCCACTAAAAAAGGAGAAGTAACAAATGCCAACTAAATAACTGGGAACATATCGTTAAAGAGTAAGCAAGATCTTTACATTTAATGAATGGATTTTATCCGTGTAAAGTGAGCTTCAAAGCAGAGATTGGAGAATTTAGAGAACAAATATTGCAGCTTGGAGAAGTAGAGGAAAAAACAGAATAAGGACCATGTTAGAAACAGAACTAAGGAAACTGCCAGAAAGAGACTAAACACGCAGGAAAGGCCAGGAAGAGCTAAAAGGACCTGAAGAATTGGACACACACACACACACTAATCAGCAATACACAAGTCAAGATACTTAACTAAAATCTGCCTTGAATGATCGATCACAAATTTCACTGTCCCTCTAGAGACCTTAAAACCATCAGTGGTGACCTATATCCTCTTTAAGTTACATTCTAACAGATAATTAATTCTTTGAAATCCAGGGCAAAGTTCTACACAGAAGAAAGGAAAAAGTGAGTCAACCTTTGTGTCTTTCAAAGCAGAGCTAGGAGACAATGGAGCAACATCTAAGAAAACCTCGTGGAAAACACCGTAGCCCAAGAGTGTCATCAACAGCCAATGCTTTATTCAGTAAAGTGTAGGAAACAGTTGTAAACATAAGAAGAATGCAAGTAATGTAATTGCCAGGAGCTCTTCAGTAAATGAATAGAAAATGAATTTTGACCCAGCAAGAAACAACCAGAGAAAGCCTAGTTCTGTACACAGGGTTTACTCAAATACAGAGCTAAAGCACAGAAAAAGACAATAGTACCATCAGCAAACTGTGTGTAAATGTTACATAGTGATTGCTTCATGCTAGCACTTAGAGATGATTATTAATCAAGTAATACAATATAAACACAAAGGCATAGAGATTTTATTAAGTAACAGTCAAATAGTTTATGAGGAGTGAGAAAGAGGAGAAAATAGAAGTGGGAAAATTTTGTATTTGCTCCTACTTGGGAAGTAACAAGTTCTGTCTAAAGTTTAAAAGACTAAAAAGTAACTCAATTAATCATTATTTCAAAAATATAGAGCCTTCAAATTAAAAGAGCACATGAACACTGTGAGTTGGCCTCTGTCCCTTCTCTGCCTGTCTACCTATCTGTCTCAGTGTCTGTCTGTCTCAATATCTATCTCCCTGCCTGTCTCTTTCTCTCTCGTCTCTCTGTCTCTCTCTGTCTCTCTGTCTCTCTGTCTCTCTGTCTCTCTCTCTCTGTCTCTCTCTCTCTCTCTCTCTCTCTCTCTCTCTCTCTCTCTCACACACACACACACAATGTGAAAACGTAATAAAAGATTTGAAAACAACAACAAAACCTAACTTAAACTGTAGCGACATTCCCCTGCGTTAATAAATGGTTATGGATTGGATATCATTAAGAGGCATAAATCTGTTTAAATTATAACTAAACCCCAGCAATACAGTTTATAGTGGTAGCAGCTACAAATGGAATCTTTCCGAAGGTTGAAAAGAAACAGAGGGGAAGTTCCTACTGGGAACAGAACGGTAAGAAGACCAGTGGGTTTCGAGGTGGTGGATATGGATTCGTTGCTGCTGCTGCTGCTATTGTTTTACAAAGAATCACACACTGAGAAAGTACAATTTGTAATGAATACAATGAAAAGCCTGTCTGTAGAAAGAATTTAAAGACAAACCTCAATGTTGTTGGTCCCAGTAGTCCTGCCTCATAAAATTAAAGATTAGAACTAAGTCTCGGAATGTACTAGCTTTTCTTTGCTCATTAAGATGAAGGGGTTTCACAGCTATAATGAAGGGCAATGAGAAATCGTCTTTGAGTTAATCTAAAGAGAGAGTATCCAAGCGGGCCCAAGTTAACCTCACAAGCCCTGTAATTCTTGCTTTAGTCTGTTGGAAACAAGACAGTGTGGGAGGCCCATGGCATGGTCTTTATGATGGGGAGCCGGAGGTGGGTTCTAGGAGCTGAGCCACAGCCACCAGAGAACAAGGCTCAGGCCTGAGAGGCCAGAGAAGTGAGTTACACCAATAACCTAAGTGAGCTTGGAAGAGGATGCCCACACAGCTTGATGAGACAGCAGTACTGGCTCCCACCGTTGTGTCTGGGAAAGAGGAACCCTGAGCAGAGGGCATGAAGAGCCCATGCTTAGTTTTGGACCCAGAGAGGCTGAAGTGACTAAGGGTTGGTGTTCATTAGGAAACTGAGTGTGCGGTGCTTGCAGACCTAAGCTGGAAATTAATGTATGTGTCATGTCTTGTAACAACGTAGTGTCAAATGGACAGAGTAATACCCAACGATCAGAAAGGTCCAGCTGTTGTATTAATGCCCTGCACTCTCTTGCAGCACCATTGGAAAACTCTAACTCACCTGGCAGCATGGTACAAGAAATTTCAAGTACAAGTAAGGCTTTTAGGCCTGAACTACTGGGATAGAGGAACTATTGGGATGGAGGGTCTGAACTATTGGGATACTGGTGTGTGTGTGGGGGGGTGTGGTGGTAATGTGTATGTGTCTGTGTACGTGTGTCGTGTGAATGTGTGTGTGGCTATATGTGTGTGTGGTATGTGTCTGTATATGTGTGTGTTTTCTATGTATGTCTCTGTGTGTGTGTGGTGTGTGTGTATGTGTATATGTGTATAGTGTGACTGTGTCTATCTCTGTGGTGTGTGTCTCTCTGTATGTGGATGTATGGTATATTTTATATGTATTTGTGTGTGGTATGTGTGTATGTGGTTGTGTGTGTGTATATATATATGTGTGTGTGTGTGTGTGTGTGTGTGTGTGTGTGTGTGTGTAAGATACAGACAGGGAGATTCAGATATTGAACCCTACCCATGAATACAGGCAATCTGCTCTTATTGCCCAATAAGATATTCATAGCACTTGCAGTTCACTATATGATAGTATAAATTCCTTAAGAAGAGAAGTAATACAAGTTTTCCCTAATCATATGCAAAAACTAGAAGTGGACAACTTTAATATATACATATATATGTATATATATAATGTTTTGATATATTGGGTGATATCTACACAGAAAAGAATTTTCTGTTCACAATTTTAAGAAATCAGCTACATATCTGTTGCATTCATAATAGTCAACAAGAATAGATTGAAGCATTATCAGGAAATGGTGCCACAATGAAAATGATCATGAATGTTCTTTTTATAAAAATGAATGCTGAGATTAGAATCATAGTTTGGATCATAGGCTTCTGCACACCCTCTGTCTGGAATAAATGCCACTTAGTTCTGACACATTGCTTTTCCATGTGACAATCTAGCATTTACTAATTTCTGTTAAGTGTTGCTCTGGAATACACATAATGGATTTATCTGTCGTGTGTGTATATGTGCGCGCGTGTATGTGTGTCTGTGTGTGCATCTGTATGTGTGTGGTCTTACCATCCAAGTGGGTACAACTTCAGTTTTAGAGATGAGATCTATGGTGACAAGAGAATCACGCCAACCCTTACACACCCTCTCCTCTGTCTGCCTAGTGACTCATCTCCGGACCCTGCAGTCCACTATGAAGTGGCACCAAGTGGTATGTGATATTCTAGGACATTCCTTAATGCATCAGAAGTCTCCTCCTCGGGGAAAACTCACACTCACTGTCTCTATTACGAATATGTTGAAATTAATACTTCATTTGCATAGGCAGATGAAGACAGCTTGGTGGGGAACTGTCCCTTACATTATCCTCCACTATAGCATTATGTTCTCAATCACTCTTCTGCACATCTGCAAATGACCTTCAGCACCGATCCTAAAGAGTCTAACCCAAGTCTACTGACTCTCCACCCACCACCACAGCCTGACGGCTCTCCAAGTCTCTGCACTCCGGAAACCGTTACTGTGGAAATCACCAAACCGCAGCCCCTCCCTCCCAGCTTCAGTTCACGTGACATCATCTCTCTGTTCAGGTGTCATCCTGCTTTGCATCTCTTTTTCTATTTATCTTCTGTGGTTTTTGTCCTAGGCCTTTGGACTCTTTTCTTGTCCTTCACCACTAGAGGTCAGAGAATTAATTGTATATTCTTTGGTCTTTAAGTGTGTAAAATACGCGCTGTATTAATGAGCATTCATCCATCAGCTTAAAAAAAAACATGGATTGAACTATTGAACCTTTAACAAACTCTATCGCCGTTTTAGTCCCGATATTTAAGTCAAAACTATTACAAGGAACACCACCACAATAAAATGTGTAATATTTCAGGAATGGGCCAGTATAGTTATTAAAACTTTTATGCATAGTTTCATTATGATCCTAGGTATAAAAATATCACTGATAATTAAAGTCAAAGGATTGGTGACAGTTGATGGATGAGTTTAATGTCGCTATGACATGAAATCATTTGCCAACATTCCCAACTCAAAGGGTGAAAAAAGGAAATTATTGGTATTTTATTCATCCACTCATCCATTCATTTATTCAAAAGCAGCTTTAAAGTACCTGGGACATGTCCAATATGATGCTGCAGCTTTGAGATGTAGCACAAAATGAAATTCAGAGACTAGTTTTAAATTACTCAGAATCCAACAGAGAAGTGATTTAAGTTACTGCTAAGAAATGTCAGTAGCTTATAAAGAAGGTACAGCAGGTTCAATGAGATGCTTGGAGGGCCCTTCCAATTTACCTGTGTTTAGAGAAGACTTAAATGGATGTTGCAGGATGGCAAATATCCAGTTGAAATCAAAGTGAATCCCAGGAAGAAGATGGAGCACAGATATATAAGAAAACAAAGAACAGAACATGCATGACAATGCCCAAAGGGAATGACTTTCTCATGGACAGGGATTTACCTGCTACTGCTCCTTCCACCACTTACTGGAGCAAAAGTGAAGACCAACGGAAGGGAGATAAGATATTTTGTCATGAATGAAAAAAGAAAGATGAAAGAAAGAAGCAGGCAAGGAAAGAATAGCGGGTAGGGGGAAGGAAGGAAAAATGCCCTCCGTTTTAGAGGTACAGCCTCAGATTAGGAAGAAAGGGAATAAGAGAGAGAAAGACAGACAGAGAGATTGAGACAGAGGGAGTCACAGAGAGACAGAGCAACCTTCCCCATTCAAGCAACAACTTCAGCTAATACACAGAAGACACTCAAGGCATGCTAGTTAGCATCTTTGAATGCTTAAAATGAGCAAACATTCATGCCTCATAACAGCCCTCTAGGGGAAGTGCTAAATTATTACCACTTTAAAAAGAAGCAAAAATTGGCAGAAGGTGACTTTCCTGTGGTGACATAATTCTTAAGTGATAGAGCCATAAGAAAACTCTAAGTCTGGTGGTAAAGACAGTAGCCTAGTACCAAGGTTGTTGGCACTAAAAACAAAACATTCTGAAATCTCAGTTTCACTTCATTGATCTTTTGTGGGGGAGGATGGTGTTTTCAGATCTCCTCCCTCATCACTTTGCAATGTGATGTGTTGATACCTGACTGAACTTCAGTTACCTAGCTAACATTTCCATAGGTTGACCCTATACCGAAAAGATTGCATTCAGCTTTTCAGTGGTATATAGACACACACCTGGTAAAGAGCATTCCATACAAAGATAGTCTGAAATGTTATAAAAGCAGAATGGCTGGCTGTAAAAAGCCGCCAACACTGTGGCTGACTCACAGAACTTCTAGTTTTAATCCTATAAACTCTTTCCATCTGATCTGCTTTCTTTATTCTCTATAAAAGGGAGACCTGACCATGATGTTGGGAATATCACTGTTCTGTAATTCTTGATTCATTGGCTTTTGTTTTTTTCTGTGGTCCTTAGGAGTTTGAAGCTGAAATGCTAATGGATGCATACTCAGGCCTGTTAAGTGATCAATCCATTATCTTGTCCATGAACTCTAGGTATGTAAGCTATAATGATCCCTGATTTCACTCACTAAATATCTTGCAAGTGTTACAGATTTAAAACATAATAAACCCTTAATCATTCTCCATTCACCAGTTTCAGCAAGCACTGTTTACTTTTTAGGGTCTCTCTTAGAGTTTCTGGATTTTATTGAAAATCAGATATTGTTTGGTTGATGGTGGACAGATTTCTTTTGCAATCAACTTGAAGATGCACACAATATAAGAAATAATGACATGTGTAAAACATAGTATCACTGGCTAGGAAAATGTGGTAATAATACTGCCCAATTATGTGAAGTACACTGTGGGATTTATGGATTTGGCTGGGCATGTAATCAGTCTATAACTTTATTTCTAGATAAATAGATTCTGATTTCTAAATAACTGTATACCATATTTTCAAAGAGCATCATTTTATATATTTAATGCACTATTGTTAAGAGAATATCAAAACCTACATGTCACATAAAGCCCAAAACTGTACATTTTATGCTAAGAAAACTCCAACCGAGTTAGGTCGCATTTGAAACCTCACTGACTCCATTATATTCCTTTTCCTTGTCAGTTTCGTTGATCCGCTGCTGCAGTTTGAGTCACAGTTGGGGATATTAGAGTTATCTTTCAGAAGTGTATTTTCCTTGCCAGATCTTAGCACAGTGCAAGCATTGGGGAAAAACTCCGAGAACGCCCAGGACCTGGAGGTAGGCTCTTCCTTCCTTGTCTAATGATAAGGCCTTGGCACACACCACAGCAAGCTCCATGGTGCACGCCTGTGGTTAGAATCTCCTGCTTGCGTTGTTGTTTGTCTTACTAACCCATATCCCTGACATCCTCACGACGATAAGGATTTAACAGATTGTGCAAGGTTTATAGGAACAGATGAGTGAAGATAGTTTGACTTAATTGGTTTAGCAAGGCAAAGGAGCTTGTAGGAGAGGTCTGAAAGGCAGGATGGGGGCAGACACAGAAAAATGTAGATACAGAGAAGCCTAAGATGAAGATCAGCAACATTTGTGGTTTCTGTCTTGTCCACCTTGCTACATGGTGCATGTGAGCCATAAGCTGAAGCTGCAACTGAAAGAAGTTGCTAATGAGCCATAGAAGATGCTCATGAGGGATTGAAGATGCTAGTGAGTTAGGTCTTAGCAGCAGAGCTGCCCCCTCCCCCTCTCCTCTCTCATCTTATGTTTACAGAGGAAACTAGGGCACTTAAATTGCAAAGCTATACACATTTGGTAAAATATTTTTTAAGGTAGGCTGGCTAATTGCACATTTCTGTTCTGTTTTTCAGAATTTATATGAAAGTATTTTCAACATGTATGAAGATACTCTTATTATTTTAGTGTCTAAAGATTTCTACAAGATACATATCTTAAAGGTAAAAGCAAAGCAAATGGTTTTGTTACAATATAAATAGTCTAGCATGTTCTGTTTATTTCTAATTGGTCATATTTGTCTCTCCATCTAGTACTGGGAGGCTGGAATTTTTCTCTAGACTTTTGATGGTGTGAAAAAACTCAGAGTTACTCTGTAGTGAAGAGGCAAGCAGGCCTGCTTTTTGTCCCACCCGGCTCCCGCATGACTAGCTTAGCCCTGAAAATAACAATATACAAACTGTATTCATTTAAACACTGCTTGGCCCATTAGCTCTAGCCTCTTACGGGCTAACTCTCACATCTTGATTAACCCATTTATATTAATATGTGTAGCACCATGAGGTGGTGGCTTACCAGGAAGAATCAGCATGTCGGACCTGGTAGCTGGCTCCATGGCATCTGCCTCACTTCCCTTCTTCCCAGCATTCTGTTCTGTCTACTCCACCCACCTATGTTCTGACCTATCAGGTCAAGCAGTTTCTTTATTAACCAATGAAAGCAACAGATAGACAGATGACCCTCCTCCATCATTACCCATTTCCTTTATTTGAGTTATTAAAAGATTAAATTTTAGGAAATGGTGTTAATGGCTACTGAGAAGTTGTGTCTTCTGTGGAAGTATGTGAAAGTTGGGGGTGGTAAGGAACAGTGTTGGTATCAGCTTGAGTCTAAACGACAATGGCAACTCTGTGGGGAGACCTGTTTGCCTCCTGCCCCACCACTGCTGAATTTAAGGACTGTGTCACAGTTTGATTTCTGTAGCTGTGATTAAACACCTTGGCAAATACAGCTTAAGAGAGAAAGGGGTTTATTTGACTTACAATTGAAAACTATAATTCACAGTTGCAGAGAAGTCACCATGGCAGAAATTCAGACAGCAAAGAGGAATGATACCCCTGTGGTACCTGCTTGCTAGGTTGTTTATGCTCAGCTAGCTTTATCCATTTGTATAGACTAGGACTGCCCACCCAGGAAATAGTGCCGCCACAGTGGGTTAGATCTTCCACTCTCCTGGCTGTGACCCAAGCAGGTTGAGGTGTGGCTCCATCCACATCTCTGGGAGGTATGAACGATAAATCTTAGCAGTGTCCTCATGGTGGTAGTTCTGCAGGCACATAGAACCCAAGATGCCATCTCCAGAATATATAAATCAAGAGATGGAATAGTTCTCAAGTAAGTTGCCATTTCTAGATCAGATGCAATTTCAGTACTCTCTTAGAGGTGAAATACAAATACTATACTTTTAAAGGGAAAATATGAACTTAAAGAGGTAGCATAACATGATAGTCTTATACAAGACATTTAATGACACCTGAAAGTTTGGATTATAGTGAATATTAGTAACTGTTGAATAAAATTAATAAAACACAAATGTGTCAATATAATAGTGAAAGTCATACAATAGTTGAAGGGTTGGGATCTTGGTGTAGATTTAGATAAAATGAGATCAAATATGAACTAATAAATAGATGCTGCTGCCTGCCTTGGTAAAGTTGGAAACTACAAAGATGAACCTTTCAAAAATGAAAATATTGTGGTTCTAAAATGGCTGTCATGTTTCCAACAGGAAATGGCCATGTGGATAAATCAGAATAAACAGTACCTGCAAGAACGAGCCATGACGATCATCACCAGAGTGCTAATCTTTGCAGCCAAGAGAGTCAGGAAATATGTAAGTCACTGACTTCAGGAATGCTGTCAACTCAAGACTGAGTTTCTAGAGGGCTGTGTTGTAAGAGGCAGCTTGTTCATTTCCTGGCTGCCCAGACTCCCCACATAATCAGACAGAAACTATACTTTTTAAATCACTGTTTGGCCAATCACTTAAGTGTAATGATAGCTAGCTCTTACATTTAGTATTAAGCCATTTCCAGTATTTTATATTTTAGCATGAGGGTTGTGGCATACCAGCAAGGTTCCAGCATGTCTGCCTCTGGTGGAAGTTCCATGGCTTCTTCTTTTACTCCGCCTCCTTTCTCCCAACATTCAGTTTAGTTTTCTCCGCTTAGCTCTATTCTTCCCTATCATGGACTCAAATTTTATTAACCAATGGTATTCACAGCATACAGAGGGGAATTCCCACATCAGGGCTGTTTTACAGGCCTTTGGGCTTGAGATCACTGATCCTGGCTTAGTACCAATGGGATGGTAGACAGGGCTATCTATAAAGTGGCAACACCCTACATAACTGTGACTCAGCTAAAGAAGTGTTTTTTTCAGTGATTGAGTAAACAGCATTTTACTTTATACACATACTATGAGCATGCTAAAACCCTAGATTTTTGCTTTCTAGACTCTTGACCCAGCGTTATTGGTAATGTCACATACTTCTTCCTGTTTTCTAAAGTAATTTTAGACTTTTATTTTAAATGTATACAACTAATTGTGGAGCTGGAGAGTGGAGGGGATCTTGGCAAATGACATGGCCTGTAGAGTAACAATCCACATAAGACAGGAAGGAAATCTGGTTCAACACTAGTTAGTTAGTTAGTTAGTTAGTTAGTTAGTTAGTTAGTTAGTTAGTTGATGTTGGTTCAAACTTCTACAGTCTGACCCCAAGCAGTTACTGTAAACATATTTATGTATAGTATGATTTGGGGGGAAAAGTTTCCCTGTGTAATATAATCCCCTGTGCACAAGACAACACAATTCTATCAAAACTCAAAGTGCATGTCCTTTCTTCCAAGAAGATGGGTTCTAGAGCTAGGCTACCTGTGTTATCTTAAGGATCTAGTGTGGTCTTGATCACCAGATAGTGTAGAGGTCATTTAGGCTATTGGCCACATCCAGTACTGGTTGTGGGAGTTAGGGGGTACCCCTAGCCATACAGATAATGCAAAGATCACCCAGACTATTAGCCACCTCCCATCCTGCACATGGGAGCTTGTCCAGATAGTGCAGATCACTAGGCTACTAACCATCTGCATTTCTGATCTTCTGGATAGAAAAATAGGTTATGCACATTTTTCTTGAAAACATAAAACACCATGGGTGTTATTTTTAAAATTTTATTTATTACTATTTTTTTTTAATTTTTGAGACTGGGTTTCTCCGTAGCTTTTGGGTTCCTGTCCTGGAACTAGCTCTTATAGACCAGGCTGGCCTCAAAATCACAGAGATCTGCCTGCCTTTGCCTCCTGAGTGCTGGGATTAAAGGCGTGCTCCACCACTGCCCGGCTATTTATGATTTTTTAATATATGGGTGTTTTGCCTGCCTGTATGCCTACAGGCCAGAAAAGGGCATCCAAATTCCATTATAGATGGTCATGAGCCACCATGTGGTTGTTGGGAATTTAACTCAGGACCTCTAGAAGAGTAGTCAGGGCTCTTAACCACTTAGCCACCTCTCCAGCTCCAGCCCCATGTGTTTAATATTCCAGGGTTTTGTAGTGCTGCTATCTGTGAGCGCAAGGACCTTTGTGCTCCCAACAACTAATCCTTGAGTTGTCTACTGTTAACCACACTAAAGTCTACACCTTCCCTTACTCTTCTCTTACTGCACTCTGTCCCTGTCAGTGTGATGTGCCCTGTCAAGCCACGTGTCGACTGCCTCATTTTGCTTTACCACAGTTGCCCTGTGTTTACTTACGGTTCTTCATCGGGCTTGTAAACACTGTGTCCCATTGATGTTTCAATACATGTAGCTTTATTTCACATTTCTGAATGTGACATGTGTCTAAAGGTTTCAGTTTGTTATGATTGATGTATCTTACTTTCTGGTTGATAATTATCAAGATGCATTTTGATTTTTCTACCTTCAATAAAGCATTCTGTGTAGGTCTGGATGTGTATCTGGGCATGCTTAGTGGAGCAATTATTAGGAGAAAGATGCGAGTAGCTAAGGTTCATTAAAACATGATTTGTATTCTCGGAGTGTCCCTTTCCCTCACAGCTTCACAAACACTGGGATATTAGCAGGCTTGGTGGTTGAATTTCACATGGAAATTGAAGAGATGTCCCAATTGTCAAACTTCCTGCTTTGACTACCTCATTGTCCTCTTTCTCAGAAACCTCACACTGTGGACATTTCCCTCTTGTGGATGCTTCTCAGTGTCTCCTTTTCTAATTTACCTTCTAAGTCATTTCCAAATGGCCAAGGGTCTAGGTACGATAACTAGATGTCTCTGGCTGGTGAACCCTCTCGCAGGGTCGCAGTGCGGTTCCCAGCCTAAAGGCTGGTTGAGGTTAAAGAGATCTAATGTCAATCTCGCTGAATCCGTCCTTCGTTTGTCTTTGCATGTAAAACTTTTATATATGCTCTACTAATTGTTCGTTTAATTATTTGAATGAGGCCTAGGATTAAGAAAAGCTCGTTTCGCATTTATTTTCTGTGTTCCTAACACATGTTATCCACGCAGCAATGATCACACGCTTCTCTCGGAATATACTGATAGATTCCATTAAGCCACACCCAGAGAGTCGGTCAGACATTTGGGAGTGGTCTCTTAGGCTACCACTTCCCTTTCTCTCTCCGTTGCTCACGGGACACTTCAGGTATGAAAAGTTGTAACCATACACTTTCAGGTGTGAACGCGAAACCACACATTCATTGTTCCTTACAACAGATTGGGCAAGTCCAAATGGGATAACCTAATAGTGAAATGGTCTGCAGTGGTCACAAAAGGCCACCAGGTGGCAGCACATCAGCATTTTTCAGAGCGTTGCTAGAGATCCAGCTGCTTACTTAAGGACCTGAGGACATAAACCTCATTAAGCTAGTTAAAAAAAAAAAAAAAAAAAAGTTTAAGAAAAACGATTAAATCAATAAAATTTTTATAAAAGCATATCTAGAGCTATATTTATATTATATATTTATATATAAAACATTTATAATTTATATATTTATAATAGTTACATTCATTTAACAACATAATCCAAACTACTGTTAATAAATTAAAACCTAGGCTTCTGACAGGTCTAACGTGTCTCTCTGAGTATCTGGAACAAGAGTATTTGTCTTTTTTCTGATTATGTGTAGCTATACACTCTGTGCTAAGGTATTGTCCAGGTACTAGATGGAGACTTTTCCTCTATAAACCACTCTTGCCCAGGTAGACTACTGAAGAATCCTGACTACCACTTGTGTCTTGTTAAAAATACTTTTTAAAGTGATGATTCCCCTCACATGACCATGTAGCCATTAGAGCAGAGAAGCACCTCTGCACTCCACGAATTCCCTGTTCATTCAGTTAAAGGTGGCCGCATTTTACAGGCAGAAACACCTAAGCTAGGGATGTCATATTGGGCCACTAATAGAAAGAAGGCTCCCATCTTCAATCATTTGGCACATTTAAAGATGAATGCCAGGCAGTGGTGGCACATGCCTTTAGTCCCAGAACTCAGGAGGCAGAGGTAGGAAGATCTCTATGAGTTCAAGGCCAGCCTGGTCTACAGAATAAGTTCCAAAACAGCCAGGAGACACAGAAACAGAGAAACACTATTTCAAAACAAAACAAACAAACAAAAATTAACCAGGTGGTAGTGGTGCATGCCTCTAGCCTTTGGGAAGCAAAGGCAGGTGGATCTCAGTGAATTCAAGGCCACTCTGGGTTACAAAGTGAGTTCCAGGACAGCTTATTACACAGACAAAGCCTGTCTTGCAAAACCAAAAACTAAAAAAGGGGGGATGGGGACCAGAGAGACAGCTCAGGGGTTAAGGGCACTGACTGTTCCTCCAGAGGTCCTGAGTTCAATTCTCAGTACCCACATGGTGGTTCACAACCATCTATAGTGGGATCTGCTGCCCTCTTCTGGCATAAAGGCATACATGCAGATAGGGCTTTTACTGGTGAGCTTCCAGAAGGCAGAGCAAAGATAAGCAATACCCCTTACAGAGGAGCTCAGGGGTAGCAGCCGTGGGCACTGGGATTATACAGGTGTTAAAGGCACCAGGAAAGTCTACAGCCAAGAAAACAGAGGGACAATGAAATGTATGTGTTAATTGAAAGGATTAATTGAAAATTTATACTAAAGACTCAGTGTCCCTGTCTTTAACATAAGCTGAAGCTCGCAGGTGGGCACATGTGAGGACTTCCTTTCCCCTGAAAACCTTTGCTAAGCATTCTGTGGATGGGACAGCCTTACCCATTCCAAAGCAAAAGGTTATGAGCCTTGCTTCCAATCAATCCCCACCATGAGCATTATTGCAGTCATTTTCCCCATTTTATACCTTTTTGACAATTTCACACACGTGTACAATGTAACATATATATATACATATATACATATATATGTAGGTATGTATATATATGCCCCTGTGATGCCCTTACCATGCTCCCCTCTTGCTCAACTCCTTCCACAGTGGTCTCCCTCCCATCTTCATACTTTATCATTTTGCTCAAGTCCTGTACAGGAAGCCAAAGCTACCTTTTTCATGATTGCGATCACAGCCTATCCAGAGAATACTATTTCTAAGCAATCTTCCCTGTCCTCTGGGTCTTATAATCATTTCTCTTTATCTCCCGAGAGTCTTGGGACTTTGAACAGGGTGGAGAGTGAATGGAGATGTGTTGTTCAGGGCTGGGTTCTCAGTGGTCACTGTTCTGGCACTCTGACCAGCTAAAGTCTCCATGTTGACCATGGCCTGCTGCAAAGAGCAGCTCCTCTGACCACGGCTGAGGAAAGCACCACACTACATGGGCATAAACAAAATTATTTAGAAGACCACATGTTTGACCACATGTCTCTTTAGCAACACATCGGTGATGAAGATTCTCAATACAGTCTGTGCCTTTCTTCAACACAGGCATTTGAGGACAATAGTACTAGGCATGTATTTCTTCTTTTGGAAGAGCTTCAAATCCAATGAAAGTGATTGGTTACACCCTGCACCAGTAGGCTGTACCATTATTTCACCCATGCACATATCTTGTCTGATAGATCAGTTTTATAGTGTGCAGAGTCCATGGCTAGGTAAAGCATTGATAACATTTTTATCCTGCATCTTATATAAGGCCTCCTGGCGTAATGAATGGGGCCAGCAGGAAGCGAGATTCCAATTCAGTCCTAACTTGATTTATCTGTATCCTGCAACCAAAGCACGCAGTATCCTCAGCAAGACAGCAAGAGAGTCTTACATATCATTTACATTCTTAAACATGAATAGATAACCAAAAGTTACCTGATATTTGAGAAAAAAAACCCCTATAACTAAAAGAGACAAATTAAGTCAAGAGAAAAAATTCTATCAAAATACGTCATTCAAAGTCCAGATGGTGACTTATTTCCCCCAAAGGTGGTGAGGAGAGGAATTAAAAAAGTAATAATAATTGAAATGAGCATGACTCTGCAGTGAACTATTTTACTTAGTCACAGACCATATTTTAATAAAATTTCAACTTTAATACCAAACACTAAAACACTCAGAGTTGCTGAACATAATACAAATGCTATGAACTCGACAAAGAAAAAGAGAGATGCAGTGTTCACATAAACACTGGCTTGAAAGAGTTCACTGCAGGAAAATTCAAAATAGCTAAGTAGAAGCAACCCGAAGCCACCAATTAATGAATGGGTCAAAAAGATGTGACATGATACAATGGCATATCACTCAACCAAAGCTTCATACCAGCGGGAAACAACATCACAGGCATGATCTCTTTTATGTAAGTGTCACAGTGGGGAAACCTATATACAGAAAGCAGACGTGTGGGTGCCAGAACCCATAAGGAAGAGACGTGAGTAGCTGCTTTGTAGGCAAAGGATGACAATCTGCTTGAAGACACTTGGAATTAGTTGCAAAGCATCATGAGTGACTTTCATGTCACTAGCTTACATACCTCACAATGGTTAAAAATGGCAAATCTTGCATATGGCCATGATAAAAGATAGAAAAGTGTAGTTAGTAGAAGGAGGATGTTAGAAGCAGCAGAGCGGGAGTTGAGGACAAATAGTAGCCTTCCAAACTGTTTGTCATAAAATAGGTGATCAACACGATAGCTCTGCCACATGCAGCAGGAAATAAAAGCCTGAGCATTAGAGGTGCCCCCAGCGAAGGAAATACACTTGCTTTCAAACCTAGCAACTAAGTTCTATTCCCAGGACCCACACAGTAGAAAGAGAGAACCAACTCCTACAGGTTATTTTCTGCCCTCTGCACATGCTCTGTGACACACACACACATGTACACGCACACACACACACACACACACACACACACACACACACACACTATAAGATTTATTAAAAAGAAGGGAAGGAGTGACTCCACCAAAAGAGTTGTAGCTTAAAACAACATGTGTTTGAGTTAAATTGGGATTTATTGTATCGGGAATAAATAGACAAAACCTGTCCACCCGGTGTTGGAAGTAGAAGTGGAAGCTGATCGTTAGATGAAGGTATAGATTCCAGATGAAACTGCTGAAATACCTAGAAGGGGTTCCCTTTGACATCTAGCTCCTAAATCCATCATTGTTTCTAGGATAAGGAACTGAAGAAAGGTAGGATCTGTAAATGTCTACACTAAAAAGGGAGAGGGCAGAAATTTAATCACAAGTCCTTCACTTTAGTAGCAAAGCTACTTCTCTCTGAGCCTTTTCTTCTTTGGGTAGATTTGCCACAAAAGTGGAGCATAGCCTGTTAAAAGTTCTCCAAAAGCCTGAGTTTTGAAAACTGTGGTTTACATCATTTGAAATGACTGTGAGTAGTTCAGCAGTCAGCTTCCTCTTCCTTTGGCCAACCCTAACGCCTGCCCTACTAACAATCTAGACAGCCACACCTACCATGCTACAGAGAGAAATTACCAATTGCTTTCTTTGCAAACTCAGAAGTTACATCCATGTGTTCGTGAGGAGGAACAACCAGAGATTGTGATAGACAAGAACTGTAATGAGCTGTACCCTTAAGAACTCCCCTGTAAACAATCTGCCCCCTGCTTCAGTGACCTAAGTTATAAAGTATTTATTTATCAGGTCCAACATAGAATGAAATTTCACCATCACCACTTCTTAGGCTCGTTACTCAGGAGTGGTCCTTAAGATCTTGCCAGTCCATAGAATTGAGAAAGTCGGCAGGCTGAACCAAAGAGCGGGCCAGCCAGGGGATGAGAGCACATCTCCCTAGAACTAGGTGGGTCCTGCTACTCACTTAGAGATTCTGGGTTGTAGAGCCCCTAAAATGGAATGTACCAGGATAGTGTCACACCAAAGTGTGGGTGAAAAGAGTTTAAGGACACCAAAGGAAGAAAGAGCTCCATTTTGTCTTCTCTTCTCCCACTGAGGCCCCCCAGTTCAGTTATGGCCTTGGGACTCACAGTGACTCGGGGAGGACAGACACAGAGGGGATGGCACAGAAAGTGTAGAAAGAAATAGACCAGGTCTTGGCATCTTTCTAAAAGGTGCATTTGGAGTTTAACTTCTTCCGCAAACACCTGCAAGAGCAAGCACCAAAACCATCAGCCCAGGACACTGATCAATCATCTTGCTAACAAGAAATATCTTGACAGCCATGCCACTAGTGCACAAGACTACAGACTGATGAAGCACTTTATCTTTAAAAATCTATCTCCCACAAACTTGATAAATGGTATTCATAGCTTCGTAAAAACACATACCCATCTCATCATCTCTATGTGTTTCTGTAGTTGCCTTTAATCGAGGCAAATTATTCAAGATAAAAATATAAATATCCAATTAGCTGATGCATCAAAGACACTGCAGGGAGAGATGGCACCAACCGTGACAACAGATTGGGAAGAAAAAGCGTATGCTTTGAGGGCTTCATTTTTGTGAGCTCTTTCCAAAATCAGTTTTCTCTGGCAAGCATCAACAAACTCTGAGAAGACAACAGCTTCACCTTTTCCCCTAGAGTCAGTTAGAGCATTTTCCCTGGGCAAAGTGGAACTTTACAATAGTCTGATGTTCTTCAAAACTTCAGAACTAAGCAGAACACCAACAGGAGATGCCTACAGGTCTCTGCCCATCCCTATCTCCCTCCTCCAGTGAGCCATTTGCTACCAACGGATTGCTACCTGGATTAGGAACTATAAACTGATGTTGAATTACAAGTATCTCAAGCGGCTCTCTAGGAACTACCATCTCTCTCTCTCTCTCTCTCTCTCTCTCTCTCTCTCACACACACACACACACACACACACTGCCACTGTCCCTACAGCACCTGTTACAAACACAGTGCTTGCTTTCATTTCACAGTGAAGGAAACTGAGTGTTGTAAGGAGGATTGCTTATTTATTTTCCGGCTGCCCAGCAACTCAGACCCAAAGTAATCACACAGAAACTGTATTAATTAAACCACTGCTTGGCCTATTGGCTCTAACTTCTTATCAGTTCGCTCTTACATTTTAATTTAACCCATTTCTAGTAATCTGTGTATCACCATGTGGCTGTGGCTTACTGGGTAAAGTTCTAGTGTCTGTCTCCAGTGGGGCTACATTGCTTCTGTCTGACTCTGCCTTCTCTCTCCCAGCATTCAGTTTAGTTTTCCCGGCCAAGTTTTGTTCTACCCTATCAGACTAAGCCAGTTTTTTTTATTAACCAATGGTATTCACACTACATAGGGGAATCCCACATCAACTGAGCCTCAACAGCAGAGCCCAGGGACCTGTGTACAGGGTTTTAAGACTCTAGGGCAACAGTTCTCTACCTACCTAATGCTGTGGCCCTTTTATACAGCTCCTTATGTGGTGGTGACCCCCAACTATAAAATTGTTTTCATTGCTACTTCATAACTGTAATTTTGCTGTCATGAATTTTAATGTAAATATCTGTGTTTTTCAATGGTCTTAGACAACTCCTGTGAAAGAGTTATTCATCCCCGAAGGGGTCAGAACCCATAGCTTCAAAACTGCTGCTAACTGATCCCCTCCTACTTAAGAGGATCCATGTAGTACGGAAACTGCTTTTTTGTCCCGGCTGCTCAGAACCAAAATAATCACACAGAAACTATATTATTTAAATCACTGCTTGGCCCATTAGTTCTAGCTTCTTATTGTTAACTCTTACATGTCAATTTGACCCATTTCTATTAATCTGTATATCACCATGTGGCCGTGGCTTACCAGGTAAAGTTTCCTATGGCTTCTCTCTGACTCTGCCCCCTTTCTCCGTGTATTCTGTTTAGTTTTTTCCATCTAGCTCTGTTCCTCTATAGCTCTGCTATAGGCCCAAAGCAGTTCCTTTACTAACCAATGATATTCACAGCATACACAGGGGAATCCTGCACCAGATTCATTACAAACTTTTAATGTTGACAATGTAAATCTAATGAACTTTCTCCTTTGCTATCCAATTAGCCAAGCATCGATGTCCCGTGTTTAGGTCTCCTGGTAGCAGAGCTCTCACTCCTGTGTTCCCACAAAAAACCCTCAGTCGTACAGCTAGCAACCACAGGGATGAATTACGTCCTCTACATTGGAATATGTCAGAACTGTAAGTACGCCTTGCCATCTTCTTCTGTTACTAAAAACCTCCTCTAATTATTTGACTTTTTGAAGAAGCACCTGTGCTTAAGATTTATGTTTAAATCTGTGGTCAAGATCTGTGACCTTACTGTCTAAACTATGGCTTTAAACGTTACTTAAATCTTGTGGAGGAAATTTTGTAATTAAATAGCTGGTACTTCAAGATCTTTGCAGCTTCAAGATCTATCTATATTTCTTGAGTTGATGTTGACCATTGTTGGTGAGGGCAAGGACAACAGGTCAGGAAGAGAGAGGAAGAAGTTTTACAAATAAAGCATTTAGAAGAGGCATGTTTTCTAGCTAATGGCTATAACAGAGAAAGATTCAAGGAGCAGGCAAAGGCTGTATTGAGTGACAAACATGTATAAACCAGAATTTAAAAATCTCATAATTCACAAGTCATGTGGAAGGGTTTTGTCATATTAGGAAGAAAATCTATGCTAAGATTATGCTATTTGTCATTTAAGATTTTAATACACAAGTTGATAGGGGGAGCTAGTTCCAGACACATAGGCAGCTCACCAGAACAAACCTGAAGCCGACTTCTAAGAATAAAAACATTCCAGTAATTAACAAGTTAAATTTAAGAATCTCTGGCACCCAGTAAAAGCTGCAATGCAGTGTTCATCTGTCATCTCAGCCCTCAGGAAGTTTATGGAAGAGGACTTGACTTCAAAACCAGACTCGGTTATACAGTCAGATCTTGTTTCAAAGGCGAAACAAATAAGAAAAAAAAATCAGATATGTAAGCATTCTTTACCAGCAGGCCTGCATTTCAGGAAATACTGTAGGAACTTCATCAAGAAAACAAAGCCATAATGTGAAAACTTAGATTTTCACTAAAGGAATAAACTACTAGAAATTGAAACTATGTAATTAAATATTTAACATAACAGAAAATTATATGTTTTCTCTTATTTACATCACTTTAAATGATAATCAATTATTTAAGACAAGGATGGAAATAATATAAAAGCAAAGTGAATATGAATAAATGAATTAAAGTTGGAAAGGGAGAAACATGAATACTTTTTAAAGATTTTTCTACTATGTACAAAATCATGAAAAATCCTGTGAAAGTAAACTATGTTGTGTTAAAATGTATCATATAAAACTTAACACAGCAATTAAGATAATGTAGAGTTATATATAACTAACTAGAGTGGAAATAGTCAATTCACAAAATATGTTTAATCCAAACAAAGTCCATAAGATGTAGTATAAAAAGAAACAAGGTGAGAAAGACAGAAAACTGCAATATAATAAATAAAAATGTTCAAAATACCCACATTGGAACACCGGACAGAAATCTCAAGGTCCAAATCAGGAGCAGAAGGAGAGAGAGCACGAGCAAGAAACCCAGGACCGCGAGGGGTGCACCCACGCGGAGACAATGGGGATGTTCTATCGGGAACTCACCAAGGCCAGCTGGCCTGGGTCTGAAAAAGCCTGGGATAAAACCGGACTCACTGAACACAGTGGACAATGAGGACTACTGAGAACTCAAGAACAATGGCAATGTGTTTTTGATCCTACTGCACGTATTGGCTTTGTGGGAGCCTAGGCAGTTTGGATGCTCACCTTACTAGACCTGGATGGAGGTGGGTGGTCCTTGGACTTCCCACAGGGCAGGGAGGGAGGGGGACTTGATTGGGGGAGGGGGGAAATGGGAGATGGCAGGGAAGAGACAGAAATCTTTAATAAATAAATAAATTAAAAAAAATACCCCCAAATAAAAGGTAGAGATTGTTGGATTAGACAAAAGTGAGATCCAACTCTATACTGCCTGCAAGAAACCTGTTTAACTAGGAAGACACAAACATTAATTAGAACAGAACAAAAAATAATAATAGTAATCAAAAGAATATATGGACTATAGTAATATAAAAAGATAAATTTCAGAGCAGAAAATGTTTCTGGGGAAAGAGCTGTTTTATAATGATGCAATAACAGAACAACTAGCATAAATAATAATCCTGAACCCCCAGGTACCTAAAAGCAATAAAAATGTATTATCATAAAAAATAGAAATAAATTTACCAAAAATAGAAGTGTAAGAACAAAGAGAAAGATCTACAGTTACAGTCAGAGAATTCAACAGCCTTCTCTCAGCAATGAGTAATCACACAGAAAATCATTTACAGAATTTTGCACCAGTAACAGAAAAATAAGCCTTGAGATATATTAATTAAATTATTTTTGACAAAATGGTTTTAAAAGAGAAATCAAAATAATAATTATCTGGAAGCCCCAAAGCACTTGTAAGCAAAATGCCATGCTCCTAAATAACCTGCAATTCAAATACAGAAGATACAGGAAATAAATTCTGAACTGAATGAAAGTGAAAAATATAATGTATCCAAACGTGCAGCGTGCACATAAAGGAGCACTAGGAGGGTAATTCACAGGTTGATAGGCCTGGCTTAGAATAAAGACAAGGTCTCAGAAAACCAGAGGAAGAAGAGCAAAGAAAGCTGGAGCAAGCAGGAAAGAGGAACAACAAACAGGAAAAAAAAATGAACACAGAAAAAAAGGGCTGGAGAGATGGCTTAGAGGTTAAGAGCACTGGCTGTTCTTCCAGAGGTCCTGAGTTCAATTCCCAGAAACCACATGGTGGCTCACAACCATCTGTAATGAGATCTGGTGCCCTCTTATGACATGCAGGCAGAACACTGTATACATAACAAATAAATAAATCTTTTTTAAAAAACAGAAAAAAAAACAAGGAAGAAGGAATGACAGATTATTTGGGATGATCATGGGGACAAAATATAGAAAACTCAAATTACAAGTGTTAAAAACAGCCTCACTCAAGGACTTTATAAATTCTGGATCCATGCCACCTTAAACTTTTATGAGAATAGGCCACGAGCAGAATGTTAAGTAACCAGCATTTTGCAGACATCCAGAATTGGGTAGAAAACTGGAAATAACTACATCTTAGGTTGAAACAGTAGTTGGATGAAAACTTTATATTCTTTTCCTTAAAACAGCTAACATTGAAAAACACAGGTCAAGTTTTGGAGAAACCGATAACCCCAGGGTGATAGCTTCTGAATTTGAATTACTACCCAAGGACATACAAGGAGACAGAAACAAAATTGCCAAGGTATGTTCTATGTAATTTGTTTTAAATGTGTTATTGCCCTTACTCGTAGTTTATTTCCTTCAAGTTAATGTTTTTAATAACTTCAGTGTCCTTTTCTTTATTCAGAAATACAAATGACTGAAGCACAGAGCATGTGGCTCCCTATATTTCTTGTCACTTAAGAACTATGTCTACTATCTTTAAACACAGCAATTTAAAATATACTACTTGTTATAAAACGTAAATTATATAGATGTTTCTTAATGAGACTTCTATATGTAGATAAGTTCCAATTTTTTTTGACAAAATTAATGGAGTCAACAATTCTTTTCTAACATGTAATAATTCCCCCTCCCAAATATCAGGATGACATTTTAACTTCGATTTTATTTTTTAAAAGTTTATGAAGTTTTACAAAAAGGGCTGGGCATAATAATATATACTTATAATCCTAGCACTCCGGAAGCTGAAACATCAGTATGGTAAGTTCAAGGCCAGCCTGACTTGCATAAACATATTATTTTAAGGGGAAAAGACTATTTACACAGTGCGCTGATAAGTCTCAGTATTAAGCAAATAATTTTTACCCTATGCTAATCCTAGAGAAACCATTAAGATCTGTAACTCTATATTACTCTTTCAGTTTTCACAGTTCAAACTTCTTACCTTCTAAGGCTCCCCAGTACTAGGTCCCAGTTGGGCTGTCAACTTTCAGACAGACATATTGAGCTAACAGTAAAACATAAGTTCTGGGAAGGACCCTCAGGTTAGCCTATATTCTAGGATCAGAAGACTTAGGGTGTTCTTCCTTCCAAACTCCAGATATAGTGCAGTGGTTTTCTTCTTATGGTTGACATGGTTAGAATTGTGGAAGGCTAAGAACATGCCAAAGCAATGTATCTAAATGATATACAGGGTCAAACGATACCATACAGGTGTTTGCAGTGTGTGTGTGTGTGTGTGTGTGTGTGTGTGTGTGTGTTGTGTACATACCGGATGATGCCTCTTTACAAAGACAAGAGATTTTCTTACATACATAACCTCAAAACTTGCAAGACTGGTTAAGTATGAAAATGTCCATTTCCATAAGGAAACTGGGAAGCTATGTAAGCTTGCGAACAAACCCTTCTTCATCCATACACTCTCCCTTCCAGTGCAATGTCAGGGGATAGATCTCTGAGCACCATGATTGGGCTATTGAATCTGGGAGTCTTTCCCCAGTGGCTTCAGAGACTTACTAGCAACACGTCTGGGTTTGAATTCTCTCTCATCTGAGCTTAGTGTTTATCAGGTTTATAAATCCTTTGGCTGAAGTGCCTTAGACCTACGTGTTTAGGATTTGTTGTTCAGTTTCTTATTGTTAAACAACATAAAGTTCAGGGGTATCGAGGCATGGAAGAGCAATGACTAGGCAACACAGATGTAGACCTCCAGAGTAGATAAAACAGGGCTGAGAGAATCCAAGGTTCTAACAAGAATGCCCACATGTGGGTGGGAGGAATCCAAAGCTGTACCAAGGCACTCAAGAGACCACGGTCAAGTTCAAAAGATGCCAGCAGAGATACAGCAAGTTTGTTCACTAAGAGAGCTGGGTACAAAACAGCACTAACGTGTGAAGACTGTATTGAACATGAAGACGCTTTGTAAGTCAAGTCACTTCTGTTTTCTATAGGAACTGTTGGTGAAGCCAAGACTTCATCAATAATTCTCAGAGGGTCATGAACATATCATTCACCAAAACAAGTTCATACAATACAAACTAGTAATCTCACCCACAGAAATTTATAGAAAGAAACTCAGAATAATTATCTGTTTGTGAAGTGCTGTTCTTCATGACATTTTTTTAAAATATTTTTATTCCTTGAAAATTCTGTACAACATATTTTGATCACATTCATTCCCCTCTCCCAACTCTTCTGAGATCCACCATTACCTCCTTACCCACCCAATCTTGGGTCTTGTTTGTTTTTTACTCAAATAAAAGTAAATTAAAAGACATCAAGTGCAATTCATTCTGTGCAAATTACTCTTGAGTGTTGGGCCTGCCCTAAAATGTGATTGATCTACCAGAGGCCATAGTCTTAAAACGGGCCCTTCTCCTCCCAGCAGCTATCAAATGAGAACAGCTCCTCAGCTAGGGATGGGACTTCCTGCTGGCCATGCCCACTCCCCCACCCTGCTCCATGGCGAGATTAGCAGAGATTTTGCTTTTGTTTTATAACTAGTATGTATAACAAGTGAATACATAGCATTTTATATACATGCTATAAAATATCAATTTATAGTATATTTTCCAGTCACTAATTCAAGTGGCATCAGGAATGCATAGCACTGCAATGTAACAGTAATAAATGGATGAGGTGATCTCTAGATTCTAGATACCCACGGGCACGTTTGTGTGTGGGTGTGCATGTATATGTGCGTGTACATGTGTGAGGAGAGGAGCATCCACCCTTGTATGATCACTTGGAGTCCAAAAGTTGACATCAGGTGTCTGCCTTGATTCTCTATTTTGTTAGGACTTGGTCTCTCACTGAGTCTGGAGTTGATTGATTCAGCTAGATCTGCTGGTCAGTGCCTCCGAGGATCTAGCTGTCTGTTTCAGCCTCAAGCACGGAGCTCACAGATACACCTCACCAGTCCCCCAGATTTCACACGACTGCTGGTCATCCAAGCTCAGGCCCTAAGGCTTGCACACGAGCCATCTCCCCAGTCCCCACAAAGTCTAATTTTTCACGCAACCTAGTGTCATATCCACAGCTTTATAAGATAAAATCTTCTAATACCAGCTCTAGATTTCATTGGGAACTGTTTTTTCCCCTGTAATTTTAGGTAGAAATTAGAGAAACCATTGCTGAGTAAATAAATATTTCATTGAAGAAAGTATCACTTCCAGTAATATTCCAAAAATTTAACTTTTACAATTTACTCTGACTTTCTTGAAATAGGACAGTCTGTGGCAATTCACTTACCTCCCCCAGCCACAGTAGTACTTGGGGTTTCCTCCACAGCTTTCCAAGGTTATGATCCCTCACTGGTTTGTTGAGCAGCTGTAGGCTAGCAGTGGAGGGCTGGGTGCAGTCTGCTGTCTTGGACCTCAGACCTGGCTTATTGAGCAAAAGGAACAGTAATTCATCTCTCTGTTTTTGTCTGTTTGACTCTATGTGCATCCTATGGCTGTCTGGTACCTACGGAGGTCAGAAAAGGGCATCCTATCCCCCGGAACTGGAGTTAGGGTAGTGGTGAGCCACTATGTGGGGGTGGGGAGAGAGCTCAGGTCATTTGCAAGAGCAGCAAGTGCTCATAGCTCCTGAAAAGTCTATCCAGCTTCAGGACTCCACCCCTTTAAAGGCAGCAAGTATCATCTTTTATTGGTGAGATTAGAGGTATTTGCCAATTGCATGAATGATTTGTTTTTCACACAAAGGCAGAAAAAGAAAAGATAAAAAATAGAAATTGTGACGCCTTTATCCTTTCTACTCCTGTGATCATTTATAGTTTGTGGATAGTCCTCAAACTTCAAAAGGAGCTGTTTCCATAGCAATCGTTAGACCTCCATCATGGGCATGCGGAACTTCTATGATGAGTCATGTTCATTCATCCTTTCTCCCCATCTCTGTCTCTCTCTCTCTGTCTCACTGAAAAGAAAAATGTATACTTTCACATCACCTTGACTCTCTCAGCCTATCTTTCCAGGATCTTCTGTGAACCACATTTGTTTCTCACATGTTGAAGGCATCTTGGTAATATTTGGCACTGAAATTATTTTAAACGCAGAAGTAAGTTTTGTATAATACCTGGGTTTTGTATAATACCTGGATTTTGATTGTCATTACACGAACACTACCACAAACACACTTTCCATCATTTTTTAATTTAAAAAAGCAGGTTCCATAGTTCATGAATGTCTTATACTTCTGCCTGGTCTAGAACTCTGCCTTACCTCCAAATATCTAAGCTTCGGTGTCTTGCTTACCCTGGTGGTCACAAATGTCCTTTTGGTTTCAGAGTGTGGGACAAATACTACTACCCACCTTTCTGACTGACTTTGTGTGGACCCTCCTGAAGAAACTTTCCTCTCCTGATGATGAGACAGCCTCGGAGGCCGCGTCCTTACTGACGCTGACTTTGGAATATCATGCTCAGAAGATCACCATGGTGATGTAGTTGGCAACGAGCTAAGGAGAACAGAGAGTGCTCTCAAAAGTCTACTTTTCAGCTTTGTTATCTATTTTTTTTACGTCCCAATTTCTTGCTATTGTTCACTAAGTCACTTTAATTAGATGAGGCTTTTGTGAAATGTTTCAAACAGGGAAAATTGTCGGCACTTTATAATGAATATTCTTTTACCAATCATGAAAAATTAGAATATTTTGCCATGTTTACTTTGCTGGCTTTTAATAGAGAATTGCATTAATGACAAATACTTTTGTAATTGAACTCTCCCATGTAGCATTTAAGAAACATTTTCAAGGACTCTCATATTGGAGTAACACTGGGTAAGGAATTTGTGCAGCCCAGTACAATATGAAATATAGAACTATGTCTCATTTGAAGTTAAAAAGATGGAAGTTTTGGGTTATTCCCTTTACTTTATGACCTCTTTCTCTCAATTCCTTATGACATTTTTATTTGCTATTAGATGTCTAAGTGAAAAGAAATCTTACTTTTTCATTATTAGCATCTTTTGTCAATATGTACTTATATAGTGACAAATAGATTTATGAATATAAGAACAATTAATTTAAATACAGAATTAACAAAATAATGAGGTTGGTATTGTGTAGTTCATACATGAGTAAGCATGTCAGTTTTACCAGGAGTTGCACAAAATTAACTCAACTGTTTTTATTTCACTCATTGTCATCCACATATCTTATTAGAATTTTCTGTCTTCAGTGTCCTGACAAATAAGGAAAGATTGAAAATAAATAAATTGCTGTTGTATTACAAAAGCAGAATACATTTAGAATGGACAGTTTATAGTGAATAGAGGTTCATTTCTTACAGTGTTTGATTCTGTGAAACCCATAGCTCTTGCTGTGTCATCCCCTGGGAGAAGTAGGAAAGGCAAGAGAACATTGCAAGACAAAGAAGAAAGGGCCAAACTCATTCTCTAATCATACACCTACCCCAAGAGCAAGGAACCCACTCCTAGGGATAACCATAGTAACCTCAGAAGCACTGATGCCCAAGACGTAGTCATCTCTTAAAGGCCTCATATCTCAGACTGATGAAATGACTGTGGGTAAAATGCTTGCTGGCCAATGATGCAGACCTGATTTTGATACCTAGATAAATGCCAAGTACAATGAAATATGCCTGTAACTCTAGTCCTGAGTTATAGATATTCACCTGAGACAGGTGGATTCCTGGGGCTCCTTTGTTTAGCCTTTAGGCTCAAACACACCTTATCAAAAAAACACACCTCTTCCTTTCTATGCCATCATTTTCCAGCTAAGTGGTTGCAGTTAAATGCCTCTGGTATCCAGTTTGTTTTCCCACTGGACTTCCACAAATTATGGCAATCCTATGCACATGAAGAAGCACAATGACCATTACAAGTAACTGGGGATGCAGGAACTTGTAACATGAGGGCTTGCTGGTTGAGGTTTCTGTCCTGCCTAGTTCCCACAGTCGTTAGGTCCCAAAGAAAATCACACAGAGGTCTACATAAGTTACAAACTGATTGGCCCATTAGCTCAGGCTTCAAATTAGCTCTTATAACTTGTATTAACCCATTATTCTTATCTATGTTAGCCACATGGCTTTGTACCTTTTTTGGTGGGGCAGGTCACATCCTGCTTCTTCGGTGTCTGGACAGGACTGCGGAAAGAGCTTCCTTCTTTCCAGAATACTACTGTTCTCATTATCCCACCTTTACTTCCTGTCTGGTTTTCCCACCTATACTTCCTGCCTGACTATTGGCCAATCAGCCTTTATTTAAAATATAATTGACAGAATATAGAATTGTTCAGCACCAGGAACCATGCAAATCTCACAATATTACAAGGATACCCTGTACTTGTCCCATTGGGATTGAATTATAATGCCCAATCTCAAAAACTGCAAAACTTTAAAATGAAAAAAAAATCTAAGTTTTAGACGAGACTGAGAGGATCTGAACATGGATCCTCATACAGACCCTTAGGTCACAGACCCATGAAGACAGTCCTGACAATGATGGACACATGAGACTCACAGTTTCCTCTCCTGATATAATCATGTACTGGGAAAGAAGGTAGACAAGGAGAGTCATTCAAATTCAGAGAGCAGGCCAGATAAAGGACCGCATCATAGAGAGTTCTCAGAGCTGCTGTGGGCAAGACATTCCATAGAGCAAACACAACCTGAGGGAAATGGGAGGTCTGTGGTCATCTCCTTAACCAGACGGAGTTCTCCAACAGGAGAAAGCACTCAGAGAGCCTAGAAAAAGCCACAGCATATCACTGGAGGCAGGAAGGAAAGTCAAAAAGAAACCCAGGGGTGTAAAACTAGCTTCTACTACAGCAAATTACTAGCCAAAGAGAAACAGAACAGAAGTACGGTTTGGCAATTTATTGCCTCAACTAAGCTACGTTTTTAAAGCTATTTCCCCCAATTTCCACAACTACATGACTTCATAGTTCCTGACCTTAAATATTTTGCATTGTAATTATATAAATACACTTTCAGCTATTGCTTATTTGTATGCTAATTGCTACATTGGTCCTTCCAAAAAAGGTTGAGTTCATAAAACCAAGACATGGCTAGGCTTAAAGGTAAACAAAGAAGGTGACACTTTGCTGACCTACAAAAATTCTTCTTCCAGGTGTCTAAAATTGTGGACGACATTTATGAGCAGCTCACTTGGAATTCTTCCCACACCATGAAGGATGTCTTGCTGCGAGTCATCAGCCTGCTGATAAGAGCATCCCCTAAGAAGGTGATCTTTCAACTCATGGAGTTCCCAGTCCCTGCAGACAAGTAAGGCATCCCGCATCTTGCCCCTCTGTATACACTTACCCACAAATTCCATGGTCATATGGCCAAGCTAAAGTCTTTCTTTATTGTAGTTAGGCATAATCTCTTTTTCTGAAAAAAAAAATCCCCCCCCCTTTTTTTTTGCACCATCTCTGCTGGCTATAAGTTTTAAGTATGTTCATATGTTATGCATAACTTTGGATAATGGTTAGCACACAGTAGGACCCCAAGATTTTATCAGTGTCACTGTGGGAGGGTGTTAAATTATATGCTGTTACAAATCTTACCAAAGGAAACTTGCTTCAAAAAGATAATGAATTTCTCTTGCCTGTGTTAATTTAATCATTTTTTTCCTTGAAAAAAATCTCCCAGACATAGAGATTTTCTTATTTATAAAGGTTTGACTTACGCTATTTAGACCCACCAATAGAATAAAAAAAAAAGTTAATTACCAAAATAAGGGCCAAAGAAATGGATTTGTGGTTAAGAGCTGCCATTACAGAGTCCTAGAGTTTAATTCTGAGCTCTCACACTGGGTGACTTACAACCACCTGTAACTCTGGCTCCAGGGGATCCAATGTTCTCTTCTGTCATCCATAGGCACCCACATGCATGTGTGTGCACACACACAGACATCCACATGCATATATGCAAGTAAAAACATAAAATAAATTTATTTTTATTGTTACTAAGAGTGAGAATCTTCGGCCCATTAACTGTTCATCTGAAACTCATGACCTGGGACCACAAGAAATCTTAAAGAACCGAACTGATTACTTTGAGCTTATGGGCCAGTACAGCTCTAACAAGTGCATTAAAAGAGCTTAGAAAAATCACAGGGCTTCACTTCTACAGTTCCTATGCTGTGGGGGAGGGAGTGTCTCTTCCCTTCTACAGGCTGCACAGAACTAAAAACAGCCGCTAGCAAGCATGGGTCTCAACACCTTGTGTTTGCAGGGCTCTGCTTCTGATGTGGCAAGCGGCGAGCACCGAGTCAAGTGTTGCGCCCCAAGTGCTGAAGACGATCTTGTCGATACTGAAAGGAAAGCCTGGGGAGTTGGAGGAAACCCTGGTAGAAAGAAGGCGCTTCTCCCTGGATGCCACCAACTTGATGCCTGTGGCGGTAAATGCTGCCATGAGTGTTTCTGCTCCCTGTTGTCCTCCTGATGGTGAATCCCCTATCCTCACTGATTAGGCCACGCCTCCTCGGCACAGTCTCCTTCATGCATGCATCCACCTAAAACACATTTATTGTGTGATACATCTTGATAATAGCACGTGTAATCTGCCAAGATACAAAGATAAGGAATGAATATTTATATTCAGGATATAAATATATGGTAGTGTATGTGAGGGAAACAGGGTAACAGGGATGGTTTAAGGTAAGTAGGACATGGCACACCCAGAATCCTGGGATGGTTCAAGATAGTACTTATATGCATCTTGGAAAGACAGACAGCAGAACACAAATCCTGTTGTCTTACTTAGGGTTTCTATTGCTGTGAAGAGATACCATGACCACGGCAACTCTTATAAAAGAAAATATTTAATTCAAGTGGCGGCTTACAGTTCAGAGGTTCTCATCATGGTCAGGAGCCTGGCAATATGCAGGCAGACATGGTCCTGGCTACACACTGATCAGAAGGCAACAGGAAGCAGACTGTGACACTGGGAGTAGCCCACCCTTACTGTAACACACTTCTTCCAACAAGGCCACACCTACTTCAACAAGGCCACACCTCCTAATCTGCTCCTATGAGCTTATGGGGACCAATTACATTCAAAATTGTCAGGATGCAACTGACATGGCCATAAGGCCAAAGAATCTGAGGGAACTACCCAAGGGCAGACCTGTACTTGACTTTAGAGAGATAGCCACCAGCTAAGTCATAAAAACTTCAGTGGTCGTGTCCGTACTGATATCATTTCTGCCTACCCGTTTCCTCTTGAGTGTGGTGATGTTTGGGCCATGAGAAAAATGTAATGAACAGAGGTGCCATTGTTTATTGATATGAGGTGTTGGGATGTGCGTATGGATGACAGCGGGTATTGTCAGGTCACTATGCAGGGTTCAAGCGATTCAAGGATGACTTGTTGTACCTTCTGCTGACTGCATCACTTCCCTGGGATTTTAAGAAACCTAATGAAGACTTTGCTTACTAGTCAGACTATTCCTCATGGCTACACAGGAAGGAGACCTTAGGATATAAGCCCTCCGTGAGGATCAGCTTTCTTCCCACAAATTTGGTGGCTGGGAGGGAACCAGTAACAGTGCCTTGGAATTTCCTTACCAAGAATGCCTGGCCCAGGTTCTGCTAACCAATACGCATGCATGCTGAAGAAGTCTGGGAAGGCGTGCAGTCTTTCTTGCCCTCTGTATGATGTTTGGAGGGAGACAGTTGCCTTTTTTAACTCAATTTTTCTTCCCCAATAGGCATCCCAGGCCCTGTGCACATTTCTACCTGTGAATTCCTATAGGAAAGTGGTGACCAAGCTTTTCCCCGAGTTCCTGATGGCCCTCATGCTTCAACTCTTCTACTGCAGCCAGCTTCTAAAAGACACGGCCAAGGACAGACCTCTGTAAGAGAGTGCTATTTGGGGTCATGGAGAGAGAAGGGTCCAGCATCTCACGTGGGCTAGTGTGGGACTTGTTATAAGACCGTGGGAGGTTCTGCTCACATTTATTATACTCTAAGGGTAGCGTTTCTTCAGAAAAGCAATCATGTTGAGGACATGACCATTCACTAGGACTTCTCCTCTCTATATGCACCACAAAGAAGAGTCACGAGCTCAGAACACAGTTTGTTCCCATCGCTCCTGCTGTCAGGTCAATGAGAAGAGGAAGAAGCAGAAAGGGCCATTCGATCCAAAGCGAGACACATTCAAACTCTGCCATTCCATATGCTCCGATAGCAACCTCTCAGAGTTGCTGCACACACAAAACAGAAGAGTGAGTGCAAATATTCATTGTAAACTGGAAAGCTATCATAGTTTGATGTGGATATGATGTGGATGAGAGCAGTGTGACAACTGCCCTCTGTTTCAGGATAAAGGTCACCATTTCCTTTTGGACAACAAAGCTAGTTTTCCTGCCCTGAAAGGAAAGTCAAAGTACAGCTGTCAGTTATTGGCTGTGTCTTGTATGACCATCTAAGCCAAACAGAGCACAGCTGATCTTGTTAAGATACTTAATCCATTCATTGTCCTCTAAAAAAGATACACACCAACCCACCCTTAAGAACACAGAAACCTATCTTGCTTATTTAGAATATCACCCCCACCACCAACAACAACAACCAAAGAAAAATGATAGTTCTACCAAGTCATTACATTTCTGGGTAAGATAGTAAGCTTGTTAATGTGATTCAACCTAAATTTTATGTGCTACCATTTTATATTTTAACTTTTGCAATCCATGCACTGTTGACATAGGTGGGTCTTCTATCTAGCTGTTGTTTCATTTGTTAATTAATAAAGAAACTGCTTGGCCTGATAGGACAGAAAATTAGGTAGGCAGAGTAAACAGAACAGAATTCTAAAAGGAAGAGGGAAGTGAGACACACACCATAGCTCTCCTCTCCAAGATGGACACAAGTTAAGATTTTTTCCCAATAAGCCACCACCTTGTGGTGCTACACAGATTACTAAATATGAGTTAAAGCAAGATGTGAGAATTAGCCAATAAGAGGCTACAGATAACGGGCCAGGCAGTGTTTAAAAGAATACAATTTGTGTGTTGTTATTTTGGGTGTAAAGCTAGCTATGCAGGAGGCCGGGTGCCGGGAACGCAACCTGCCACTCCTTCTACACACTGTTCATCAGGGAAGATGAAAACCATTTAACAATTACCATCCTCTGAAGCATCCTTCTCTCTAAAACTGTATCCTTGCTGAGATAGATGGAAAGTCAAGTTGCATGTACTCAGTTATGTGTGGGTCACTGTCTTAGACTGTCTCTTCTTCTCTGGGCCTCAGCTACGTACGAGATGGCCTGAAGGTTCTGCTGAATTGCTCTGGACTAGAAGAAGTGCACGATGCTCTAGAGAAAAAGAATTTCTGGGACCAGTTTTCTCAAGTCATGGATCACCAGTACGGGATCCAAGTCATTGCCAAGTAAGAACAGGGCACTCTGGGTAGGACTCTAGCTCCCCATCTTCTCCTCTGCATCTACCTCCAGGCTCTCATGTGGGAACACATTCCCAAAAGGTTCCCTAACAGCCTACATTGAAACTTTATTTTTGATCTTTTGGTGATTTAAAAGATTTATTCTGAGATAATTTCTTTTTTTTCTTTGTTCCTCCTTTCTTTTCTTCTTCATCCACCCGTAAAATAGCCTCTCTTACATACAAAGAGCTTAAGATAAATGTGATGCTTTCCTCTCTGATTTTAGCTGATCTCTGCTCTGTGGACACTCAAAAGTGCCAAATGCCTTCTAGTTTTAGAAAAATCTACCCAAGGTCCATACCCAGTAAGCAAAGCATATTCTGGAAAATACAATGGAACATACATTTTTTAAAAAATTTCTTGCAGTAGAAATATTTTTAAAGAGTTGTTCAGTTTGTTTTTATTTAACCCTTCTGACAATCCGATTTTCTGACAATCACAAAAATATTCAAGAATTCATAGAATACAGGGTCTTGGTGTCATGAAAGAGTCTTTGTAGTTGTGACTGACTCAGAGAATACTTTTTCTGTGGCCCATGGGCTTTAGATGTTTCTCAAACTGTAACTGTATGGGCATATGTACTTTAGGGATATATGCTTTTAAATGAAAACTATATTTATGTAGATTTTTTTAATTGGCAAAACCTAACAGATAAAAGAAGTCACATCATATGACTTAGATCATTTCCAAATACATAGCATTTATTAATGAATGTAGCTAGTAAGTTTTATCATTTTGATCTACTTTTCATGAACTTTGACTATATAGACATTTGGAGAAAGATGGAGTTCTAAGAAAAATCCCACAACTGCATGAGCTCTTACAACAGGACTGCGTAGGGAAATCGATTTCTATCCTTATAGACTTTGACAAACTAGACCTTTTGAAACTTTAAAAACAGGTGTTTTCAAAGGTAGGAATGCAAGGAAAATATAGACAGTCCATTAAAATATGATCCCATACAGGCGAAGATAATTTTCAGACTTTCAAAGTTCACTATAAGACTATGAAATAAGGCCCATTGCCTTGCCGGCAGTCTAGCCTGCAGCCACTAATGCCTATTTAAGCAAAATGTGCTCCACAGGTAGCAACATCACTTGGGGAGTAAAACTATATTTGTGAGTTCTATCTGTTCAGAATGCACATTTACAGGTTTAGCCAAAGGACATGAGATTTGAAATGAAAAGCTGTTATATGACTCTTGAATATCCTACCTCTACCAATTGGATTCAGGATGGTTTATGAAGAAAACTCTTAAGTGTTCCTGGAAAATGATTTAATGACTCTGAACTTACTGTCCCTTCTCTGAAGTACCTCAAAGTTGTCACCAAAGGAAGAGCATCATCCAAAGCCAAAAGGCTGACCTTCAGCCTGTGTGGTTACCTTGGATTGCCATTATTCTCTCTTTGGTCAAGGACTGCTAGATGCTTATGTAAAAATAAGACTTCTCAATGTGGAAAAAAATAAGAGATAAAAGAAAAGGGATGATGATAAGGAAAGAATTATTTCTCTCTACCTTCGTAGTGATGCTGAAGCTTACCTTAGATTGGGGTATTTTTTGGAAGGACTTTCTTTCTAACCTGGGTAGTCAACAGTAAGGATGGATAGCTTGTCCTTGTCCTTGTTAATGCAGGATATTTCTCTTCTCTGCTAATTTGGTGTCTCGTGCTCTTTTATAGAACTCTCAGTGAATGTAACTTCCCACAGTTCCCAGAGACCCTACATTATGTCTACAAGATTGCAGTAGAAGGTCCTAGAAGATCAGAAGACAGTATCGTCACAATAATATTCTTTGCTGAAGTAAGTTTTAATAGCACATTGTGACCAACTGTGTTCTTTCATTCCCATTCCCTGAATAAACTTAAACCAAAACTCCTGCATCTCATCTCCCTAAGTATTTTTCTCATGAAAATTTAATAAAGTAAAAGATATATAAAGTCGAAGCCCCAGGGCTGCTCTCCCCACTGCTGTGAGGCCCACCGGTGGGAAGAGGCCGAGGTCCAGGCGCCATGCAACCCTAGCGCAGAGGGCAGGGGATGCAGGGATGAGGGCTCTGGGGTGTTCCAGAGTGCTGTGCCCACGGAAGTTTGTGACTTCCCTGAAGTCACAGCTTAACCACAAAGGCGCACCTACATGAATTGATCAAGGGGTCCAATCCAATCTTCAGAGCCAACAATCCAGGATTATATGAATCGACCAAGGCCTACCTGGGAGGAAGTAAAGGAACAACTAGAAAAGAAAATAAGGCTTCCAAAGCTTTGGCTGAATTTGAAGAAAAAAAAATGAATGAGAATTGGAAAAAAGAACTAGAAAAACACAGAGAAAAAATTAAGTGGAAATGAGAGCTCATCCGAAAAGAAAAAAAAAAGACAGAGAAAGAAAAAAGAAAAGAAATCTGGTAGGTATTCATCTTCTTCAGCGAGCTCTGATTCTTCCAGCACTTCTTCAGATTCTGAAGATGAGGATAAGAAACAAACAAAGAAGAAGAAGAAAGAGAAGAGTCGTTGCCATAAGTCTCCTGAGAGCTCAGTGTTGGACTCCGACTCGGACAGCAAGAACGGTTCAAACACGAGAAAGAAGTCAAAGGATGTGACTGAGAAAGAAAAGGACATTAAAGGACTCAGCGAATAAAGAAAGCTGTATGAAGATAGAGCTGACTTCTGAGTCGTTGTCAGAGTTGGAGTGTGAAGAGGTGCAGGCGAAAAGGAAGAAAAGCAGGGAAGCGCGCGAGAGAACAGATAAAGATAAAGCCAAAAGGAGAAGAAAGCATAAGAAACACAGCAAGAAAAAAAAAAAAAAGAAGAAGAAGGCTGCCAGCTTCAGTTCAGACTCATCACAGCATCAGGAAGACCAGGGTCCCTTACAGGGTGCAACATTGAAGGAGCTGTGAGGATTGCGGCATACGTAGTAACGTGCATGAATTCCCTTGTGTTTAGACTTGTCCTGGACTGCTCAGTAGCCACTAGAATGCTGCTGTATGAAAGGCCATGATTGTTGCCTGCTGCCTAAACACCTTTTCCTCCTCTCCCAGTGCTCGATGACTCTGGGAAACCATACTTTGCAGTCATACTAGCGGTTCAGCTATTTGAAATAAAGCTAATTTTTTTTACTAGATGTACTTAAGGATACGTCAACAGAAACAGTTTGAATCCATCTCCAAGATGTGACCAGAAATAATGAGGTGACTCTAGGGAAATTTTCAAAGTAGGGGTTACAGTAATATTTCAAAATTCTTATGCTGTAGATAAGTGTATTTTAATTTCTCCCCATGTATATTTTGATTCACTTGGGGAAGGAGCTTTTAAAGGGGGGTAGTTTGTTATCTCTTTAGCTACCAGAACAGCGTGCCTTTGCTCTCACACTACTTTTGTGGACACAGTCGCCATGCTCCCTGGGAGGTCAGAGCTGGACACCATCAGTCCTGCCGTTGACTGAGGTTAATGAGATCCCTTGTATGCTGCTTTGAATGACCCAGAGATACTTGGCCCTTTGCAGCATTGGAAAGGCCCCACAGCTCTGGTATTTACCTCCACTTCAGTAATACCGGCCTGAATGTTTTTTAGGGTTAGATTGTGTTATGTCATTTGATTTGATCCTGCCTACAATTTGACTATGGAGAGGAAGTGTTTAGTAGACAATGGTACCTTCTGAACTGATAGCTAACAATTCTAAAGTGGATGTTTAATGCAGGTTTTAACCAGTCAGAAGGGGTTAAGTAGCCAGTGAGAGCTACTTTATGTTTTGTATAGATTTTATTTAGGCTGCAGTGTTTAACCTTTAACCGCGTACTCTTGCTATCTTAAGTTTATTACTATGTTTAGTGGCACACAAGATATTTTGCATGTATAAAGCAGGACTTTTGGTTTTTGTTTTTAATAGCTTCATATTGAAGCTAAGACTTTTTGCCACAAGCAAGTTGACAGACAGGCCTCATATGCTATATCTTGTTACATAAAGCTGTTGCCAGAATCTTAGTAATTTTTTTTAAGAAAAAGATATATGAAGTCAAAGGGGAGGTGGGAAGGAGTCCTGACTACTCATTAATGTATTAACTGCATTGTTTTTTATTAAAGTTACTGAACAACTTCTTCAAGGAATCATTACCTGAGGAATTTTTGGTTCTCTTCAGAAACTGGATTAATGATTCCAATCCTTCAGTTAGCAAAATGAGCCTTCAGAAAATCGCAAGCATGGCACCCGTTTTCAGCAAAGTATGTGAGTGGGGTGTGATGTGTGTCACGATTGGATGTCTTGCAATGAAACGTTGATGCTTTTTTTAGTTTCTGTACTGCTGAAACCATCAAAGTCTGAAACTCAGTGGAATAGAGAGAATGTATATCAGCTTAGTGGGTTCTGTCCACCTTATTTATATTTTTCCCATAAAGCCATGTCTTGTGCTCAGAATTTATTTAGCATCATTGCTCAGAGTAAGTACCCCTCTTACAGGTCAAATCATAGACACCTGTCCATTCTCTCTATATATTTGTGATTTGTGTTCTCATTGACTTCTTTCTTGGGGTACCCACCAGACCTCTTCCATCCATTTATGACATTCTCCCTTCACCTATACGTGATTGCATTCTTTGCCCTTTTGGACGGTCACCTCAAGTCAGACTTCACTAAATATTCTGACCTCTAGCAGGCTCCTCACTCTGAAGCCCATCCCAGCTAGGAGCATTTCTTCCCTAATGGTGATGCTCAAAGTCTGGTCCTTGAACCACCTGAATCAGACTCACCTGGAAACTTGTTACAGATGCAAATTGCTGTGCCCTCCTCAAGCCTGAGAACCAGAAATTCTGGGTTGTGGTCCACAGGTCTGTCTGTTCAGGTCCCCAGGTGACTGTGAGAGACATTTCTCACAAGCTCTTGTGAGTAGCTTTCCAGTTCTAATAAATTTAATCAGGACCCATATATTGTAATTCCAAATTTCAAAGTCTCTTGCACGATCCTAAATCTGTAGATACCCACAAATCATTGCTGATTCAATAGTGGACCTAAAAATAAATCTTTATCTATTTGATCTTAGCCTTCAAGCCTGTTTGTGGATAACTATTTTTGCATTTTTAATTTCATGAGCTGTGGTCCATATGCTTAAAAAAACCATACAAGTCAATAAGAGGGTTTATTTTTGCTCCTTTATTAAACAGAAAGTTATTTGCTGCTTTCTCCAAAATTCTTCTTCATGGTGTTCATAACAGGGAGATTTTATGTCAAGGTAAAAAGGACAGTAATGGAGAAATACAGATCTAAACTTCTTTGAAAGACAAAGGTACCATTAGGCATGGATTCAGTCCCTAACTCGTGACTCTTGACTATATATATATATATAGTTAAGAGCTAATCTTTTGCTTCTTTGGTATCTCCCACTTCTCTTTTCCTTTCCCTTCTGTTCTCTTTGGCTCTGAATTGCCTCTGGGGCTCTTCAGTTCCTCTCTTTAAACATTTTACTTTCATGTTTAGAGACCACACTACCAGATATGTTGGTTAAATATTTAGTACCAACTCTCTGAAAAACCAGATAAAAAAATTTTCTAATATGAATATCCTTACCATGGTTCATTTCAAATGCATGTTATAAAACATGGAATTGTGCAGGAATGCATAATATGGCTTTATTTATTCTTCCAACCATCCACATACAGTTCATAAATAGCCTTAAGTATGTAGAAAATATTAAAATACATACTAGCAAAAGATGTTAGAATTGATCACATTTAATACTACTTTTGATTATACTTAATTATAAATTTATGTGATTCCTTTTTAACAATGACTTTTTACAGCATTTAGTTTACAAAAACCTTTAACGGTTTTAAAGAGGACTTGTGAGTTGACACGCTAAACTCAGAAGCATACATACCAATTATCCGTTCAAGTCTCTTAGTCCCAAAGTTTTACCATTCTCTTCTTTTCTTACATAGATAGAAAGTGTCTGCAACCTGTTACTCCCAATCTTGGATGCTTTTCTCTCCAAAGAGCACACTGTTATCATCCGGGCAATGCTCACTCTCCGAAACATTTTGAACAAACTGGACAAGGCCATGTACTCCACAGTGTGTGTCAGGATCGCTTCCAGCTACTGCCCTCTTATGGATCATGTGAGTGACATCATGTGATTAGCTGTTTAAAACCATTAGCTTTTGTGCCCCAGATGGCAGGATGATCTTATATCCTAGAATAAGCTGGCATAAGACAGCTATCTGTCCCTGGATACATTTCAGCTTAGTGGATACACTGATTAACACTGAAAGCTGGGCAGTGGTGGTGCATGCCTTTAATTCCAGCACTCAGGAGGTAGAGGTAAGAGGAACTCTGTGAGTTCAAGACCAGCCTGGTCTACAAAGTGAGTTCCAGGACAGGCTCCAAAGCTACAGAGAAACCATGTCTCAAAAACAAAAACAACAACACTGGACCTGGGCTGTGTGGGTGTTAATCCCTCTTCTACCTTTGATATCATGGTGATAACAGATATTTCTTCAGAGTCTTTGTGCATCAGTTTCTCAACCTGTAAAACAGTCACAGAAGTAGGTCTATTATAAAGTTCAGAGTTTATTTGTTCACCCCTCTAAAGCTTAGAGAACATCCCATAGGAGGGGCTGGAAAGAACACAAGGACCAGAGACTGGAGCAGAGTGTTGCAAAAATGATATCATCTGGCCATGATATGGCCACTGTGCCAATGAACTTACTGAAGTTGTGGAGAGGCACAAAAGACCTGCACAAGATTTAAGCTCGTCAACATGTCATCGAGGAAGGAGGAAGGGCTCATAAGGGCCACCCTCCCCTGAGGGACTAAGCCAGTTAGTGGTGTCTAGAGAAAAGGATGTAGCTTTCTTCAGGGGCATAGCCACTGATAAATTACCCATGCTCCAATAAGGAACTTCCTGCCCACACTCATGCAAGCAGCCTTTCTTAAATTCAGGGGTCACTACACAAATGAGATGTGAAAGTAGAAGAATTGCAGAGGAACACAAGGTCTTCATCAAAAAGAGGAGAGAGAAGAAAATGACAGGAGATAAAAATGACTGAAATTCATCATACACATATGAAACTGTCAAAGAATAAAAACAAATAAAAAATCCTTCAGTTGGAAACTGATTTGTCAAACAGTAGGGACTTAAAATTCTCTTTCACTCAAATTTTGCTTTGAAGTCATTTTCCTGTTCTGTATTATGGCACTCCATGAAAATGCACTGTTTTTGCTACAAGGTTACAAAGTTGTACAAAGTACCTCAAGTAAATGTTTGTTATTAATATATAAGACTTTGTTTTGTTTCAATGTTTCTTTAGCTTTGAGATTTCCTTCATGGATACCAGTGTTTCTTAACCATCCTAATGTTGCAACCCTTTAATACAGTTCCTTATGTTGTCGTGGTGACCCCCTCCGGTTATACAATTATTGTGTTGCCACTTCATAGCTGTAAGTTTTGCTACTGTTATGAACCTTGATGTAAATATCTGATATGCTGAATAATCTGAAAAAAAAAACAAGCATTTTTGTCTTTTTTATTGAGCTATATATTTTTCTCTGCTCCCCTCCCTTCTTCTCCCAACACCTTCTACCCTCTCCCATGGTCCCCATGCTCCCAATTTACTTAGGAGATCCTGTCTTTTTCTACATTCCATGTAGATTACATCCATGTATGTCCCTCTTAGGGTTCTCTTTGTTGTCTAGTTTCTCTGGGGTCGTGGCCCGTGACTTGGTTTTTCTTTGCTTTATGTCTAAAAGCCACTTAGTGAGTACATATGATATTTGTCTTTCTGGGTCTGGCTTACTGATGGAGGAGGGTCATCTGTCTGTTTTACTTTCATTGGTTAATAGAGAAACTGCCTTGGCCTTTTGATAGGACAGAAAATTAGGTAGGTGGAGTAAACAGAACAGAATGCTGGGAGGAAGAAGGCAATGAGGCAGATGCCATAGCTCTCCTCTCCGAGATGGACACAGGTTAGAATCGTCCCGGTAAGCCACCACCTCGTGGTGCTAAACACATTAATAAAAATGGGTTAATCAAGATGTGAGAGTTAGTAAGAGGCTAGAGCTAATGGGCCAAGCAGTGTTTAAATGAATACAGTTTCCGTGTAATTATTTTGGTATTACTGGGTCTTGAGGTAGGTTGTTTCCTAATTTTCAGAGAAATCGCTGTACTGATATTCAAAGGGCCTGTACCAGTTCCATCTTTACCCCACATCCTCTTCAGCATAAGCTGTCATTAGTGTTTTTGTTCTTGGCCATTATTCCAGGTGTAAGATGAAAGAGTTGTTTTGATTTGCATTTCTCTGATGGCTAAGGATGTGGAGCATTCCTTAAGTGTCTTTCAGCCATTTTGGATTTCTCTGTTGAGAGATCTCTGTTTAGGTCTGTACCCCAATTTTTTTATTGGATTATTTTTTCTTTTGATGACAAATTTCTTCAGTTCTTTGTATATTTTGGAGATCAGTCCTCTGTCCATTGTGGGGTTGGTGAAGATCTTTTTCCATTCTGTAGGCTGCCATTTTGTCTTGTTGACCATGTTCTTTGCTTTACAGAAGCTTCTCAGTTTCAGGAGGTCCCATTTAGTAATTGTTGCTCTCAGTGTCAGTGCCACTGGGGTTCTATTTAGGAAGTGGTCTCCTGTGCCAATGTGTTCATGTGTACTTCCCACTTTCTCTTCTATGAGGTTCAGTGTGGTTGATTTTATGTTGAGGTCTTTGATCCATCTGGACTTTAGTTTTGTGCACGGTGATAGATATGGATCTATTTTCATTCTTCTACATGTTGATATCCAGTTATGCCAACACTGTTTGTTGAATATGCTTTTTTTCCATTTTATATTTTTTGCTTCTTTGACAAAAAATCATGTGTTCATAGGTATGTGATTAATATCTGGGACTTCAATTTGGTTCCAATGGTCCTCCTGTCTGTTTTTTTATGCCAAAACCAGGCTATTTTCAGTAATGTAGCTCTGTAGTAGTTTGAAACCAAAAGTTCTTTATTGTACAGGATTGTTTTCACTATCCTGAGTTTTTTGCTTTTCCATATGAAGTTGAGTATTGTTCTTTCAAGGTCTGTGAAGAATTATGCTGGGATTTTGATGGGCATTGCATTTAATCTATAGATTGTTTTTGGTAAAACTGTTGTTTTTACTATGTTAATTCTACCTATCTAAGAGCATGGGAAGTCTTTCCATTTTCTGGTGTCTTCTTCTATGTCTTTCTTCAAATATTTAAACTTCTTGTCATAGGTCTTCCACTTATTTGGTTAGAGTTCTCCAAAATATTTTATGCTATTTGTAGCTATTTTTAAGGGTGATATTTCTCTGATTTCTTTCTCAGCCCATCATCTGTGTAGAGGAGGGCTGAATTTTTTAAATTAATCTTGTATCCTACTACATTACTGATGGTCTTTATGAGTTATAGAAGTTCCTTTGTAGAATTTTGGGGATCACTTATGTACACTATCATATCATCGGCACATAGTGAGAGTTTGACTTCTTCTTTTCTGATTTGTATACCCTTTATTTTCTTTTTTGTCTTATTGCTCTAGCTAGAACCGCAAGTATTAAATTGAATAAATATGGAGAGAATGGATAACCTTGTCTTGTTCCTGATTTCAGTAGGATTGCTTTGAGTTTCTCTCCATTTAGTTTGATGTTGGTTGTTGGCTTGATGTACATTACCTTTATTGTGTTACAAGAATATTCCTTGTATTCTTGCTCATTCCAAGACCTTTATTATGAAGAGAGTTTGTATTTCGTTGAAGGCTTTTTCAACATCTAATGAAATGATCATGTGGAGTTTTTTTTTTTTTCAATTTATTCATATGGTAGATTACATTGACAGATTTTTGTATGTTGAACCATCCCTATACCTCTGGGATGAAGCCAACTTGATCATGGTGGATAATGTTTTTGATGTGTTTTTGGATTCGGTTTGGTAATATTTTATTATTTTCGTATCAATATTTGTGAGTGATATTGGTCTGCAATTCTCTTTCTTAGTAATATCTTCCTGTGGTTTGGGTATCAGGGTAATTGTAGCCTCATAAAAAGAATTTGTCAATGTTTTTTTTTTGTTTTTCTTGTATGGAACAATTTGAGGAGCATTGGTATAAGTTCTTTGAAAATCTTGTAGAATTCTGTGCTGAAACCATCTGGCCCTGGGTTTATTTTGGTTGGGAGACTTTTGATGACTGTTTCTATTTTATTAGTGGTTATGGGTCTGTTTAATTTGCTTATCTTGTCTTGATTTAATTTTGGTAAGTGGTATTTATCCATAAAATTGTCCATTTCCTTTAAGTTTTCCAATTTTGTGGAGTACAAGTTTGTCAAATATGACCGACCTAATGATTCTCTGGATTTGGATTCCTCCATGTCTGTTGTTATGTCCCCTTTTTTATTTCTGATTTTGTTAATTTGGATATTCTCTCTACTTTTTGGTTAGTTTGAATAAAGGTTTCTGTTTTGTTGATTTTCTCGAGAACCAACTCTTTGTCTCATTGATTCTTTCTATTGTTTTCTTTGTTTATGTTTTGTTGATTTCAGCTCTCAATTTGATTATTTTCTGCCATCTAGTTCTCTTAGGTGAGTTTGCTTCTTTTTGTTCTAGAGTTTTCAAATGTTTTGCTAATTCACTAGTGTGGAATTTTTCCAGCTTCCTTATGTAGGCATTCAGTGCTATGACCTTTCTTCTTAACACTGCTTTCTTGTGTCCTATAAATTTGGGTTTGTTGTGTGGTCATTTTTATTGAATTTTAGAAAGTTTTTAATTTCTTCCTTTTTTTCTTAACCCATTGGTGAATCAGATTTGTTTAATTTCTGTGTGTTTGAGGGCTTTCTGGAATTAGTGTTGCTGTTGAATTCTAATTTTAAGTCATGGTGATCTGATAAAATACATGGGGTTATTCCATTTTTTTGGTATCTGTGGAGGTTTGCTTTGTTACCTAGTATGTAGTCAGTTTTTGAGAAGATTCCATGAGATGCTGAGAAAAAGGTATATATTCTTTTATGTTTAGATGGAATGTTGTATAAATGTCTGTTAAGTCCCTTTGAATCATAACATCTGTTAGTTCCCTTATTTCTTTGTTCATTTTTTTTTGTCTGACCGACCTGTCCAGTGGGAAGAGTGAGGTGTTGAAGTCTCCTACTATTTGTGTGTGGAGTTTAATATGTAATTTAAGCTTTAGAAGTGACTCTTTTACATGTGAGGGTATCCCTGTATTTGGGGCATAGATGTTCAGTATTGAGATTTCTTCTTGATAGATTTTTCCTGTAACTAATATGAAATGTCCTTCTTTTGATTAATTTTAGTTTGGTCTATTTTGTTAGATGTTACAACAGTTTTATCCAATTGTTTCTTAGGTCCATTTGATTGGAAAATTTCTTCCAACCCTTTACTCTGAGGTGATGTCTGTCTTTGAGGTTGAGGTGTGTTTCTTGTATGCCTCAGAAGGATGAATTCTGTTTGCATATCAAATCTTTAGCCTGTGTTTTTTATAGGTGAGTTGAGTCCATTTATATTAAGGGATATT